TACTCCTACTAACTACTACTACTACTACTACTACTACTACTACTACTACTGTACTGCGGCCCCTGCATTATGGTACGGCCTTCGGGGGTACATAGGCTTATGTGCCTGCCTCATGCAGGTGCAAATGCAAAGGCTGAAAGAGACTATCCGAAACGACAGCCGTTTTCGCTCCTGCTGAGAAAAAAGCGGCCAAGACTAACTCCCGAGGGGCAATAGCAGTAAGAGCAGGGCTCCTACAATGATCTGACGTCTTGACTTGGTGGTATGAATCCACTGGCTCTCTCTCCCATCAGGGCGGTTCAGGTGGGAAGACGCTCCTTGGACGTCGAAGTCCACCTCAATGCCCATCGCCTGAATATCGGAAGAAGGCATGTGGTTCCGTTGCGGCATTCCGCTAGTTAGGTTCTAAGACTTGGATTTTCTTCCCGGCTTCGGCTAGGGAATATCTGGCTCTAGAATCATCCCAGAGTGAGGCGAAGATGTCGTTCATAGTCGACAACCTGATACCTATTAGGGCTACGGCCGCGAACAAGCTGCTCCAAGACACCAGCAAATCCACATAAAGCAACACCACCGGACCTTCCAGGAAAGTCGAGCTGGCTTAAGGGCACCCTATGCCGTATCAAGCTTAAGGAAACTACTGTACAATTACAGCAAGCCGGTTTAGCTCCAAGACATCCCAGCTGCGATAATGTTACCGAAGATGGCTGCGACGGTGAATGCCTGTGAGAGCAGAATGGGTTTAGGGAGTCATGTAGGGGCCTCAGTAAATAGACTAGGGTTTCGCGGCACGGGGAACCATAAGGAACAACAATATCCGTAACTAAATACTCAGGCCTCCACCTATCGACAGGGCTTGCACACTGCTTCACGGCTCCGCGCTGTTGATGTAGCCCGCCGAAACCATCGCACTAGGTAGGGTTTGGGAGAGATTTGAAGGAACCAAGGCCCTACGTATTCAGGCTTCTCTTTTAGGCTTCAGTTCCGACATGCAGCAGGCTTAGGGCCCCGGAAGTTGGGATGTAGATTGACTTAAAGCCCAAACTTCCCAAACCCCACAAACTCCAGGGCCAAAGAGGCTCTTAGCGCCCAGCACAGGCACAACAAGAACATCTGAGGATGCTGGACACCGGATGGGAGCATAAGTTGGGGCCGCAAAAGAGGGGCCTTAATGATTATAATAGGGTTTGGGGATATATTCTACTAGAGTTATAACAAGGAACTCCCCCAAAAAAATGGTATAGGCAACTATTTAGGCCCCTATCGTGTATATTATACTATAGTTATAACAAGGAACCCCCACCCCCCCAAAATGGTATAGGTAACTATTTAGGCCCCTATCGTAGCTATTTCGAGAAGGCCTCGGACCCGGAGCCTTGGGTGGCTTTCTGCATCTTTATACTGTACCATACCCATAAGCTCCATTGTTGTTCCTTTTTGGGCTACGTTATTATTAATAATAGGATCCATAAGCTCCATTGTTGTTCCTTTTTGGGCTACGTTATTATTAATAATAGGATCCAGAAGCTCCACTTTTGTTCCTTTTTGGGATTACCTTATTATAGGATCTCACATATAAGCCACAAAAAAGGAACTATAATGGAGCCTATAGGCAGTTGCCACAGGGAGCCCTGAGGAAGAAGCATTCCAAGTACTTGGCCCCTGGACTACCTCCAGAGAGCATTCAGTAGTGACAGTGGTGCTTCTAGCGTTGCCTGGCCTGGTCGTCACAATGCCGACTGTTGACAACTGCACTAGAGTCGCTCGCAACACTCACACTACCGAAAAGCCCTACGTCATTTATCATGCACGGCAGACTACAGCATTGACACGCGCCACCATCACCACCACCACCACAACTCATACAATCAACATCGTGCTAAACCCTTGTCCCAAAGCTGATCATTGAATTGCGATCGTCACCCAGAGAGAGGATAGGCTTCTGGTCAAAGGCACAAGCCTCTACACCAAACACAGAAAAATCTTTGCAATCTAGCGGAGAAGATTTAGGTATCTGTTTCAAAAGGGCCCTATTCGAGGATTGGTCGGCTTAGGATCTTGGGTGCATCATGTTGTTCTGTGCTTCGAGATTCACGGTTTACGCCCTGACAAGCTGTCAAGCAGCGTAGGCTTCTTCATCTTCTTTGTTTTAAGGTACACCGACACCAAACTCCATTTCCATCTCCATGCCTAAAGCTGGAAGGCAAGTCGTCCTGACGCCGAAGACAGACTATAGCCTTCATCACAGAGTCTAACCAGAAGCTCTCAACAACTTTAACGCTACATCTCTTAAACCTTTGTTTCAGCATCCCCAAATCCTAAGACCCTGAACGATACGCCCACGAACCCGCAACCCATAGCCCTGGCTCATTTCGCCTGGAAGCACCGAGAGTGAACGATCCTCTGCATCACGGTCATCTTGTCCTGGAAGGCGGGTGTAGGATTTTGGGTTTAGGGCTGAGGACTCTTGCTGGCATAACGTCTAGGGTCACTAGCTTATGCGGTTCAGGCTTTTGGGCCAAGGGTAGAGTAATATTCTTTAGGGTTCCCCGGAATTAAATTATAGTGTGCCCCAAACCCTCGTAAACTTGCTAAGGGACGTGCATTATCCTGGGGAGTATAAACAAGCCTGAAGCTGTGGTTGTTTGTCCGAGAACATTGGCAGGATTGAGCTGCAAGCAGGCTTCCTGCCAGAATCTACCTTCCAAGCCCGAATCGTTACACCTTACGGAAACCCTCAAACTCACAAGCTGCCAAACCTTAATTCATAAATGTTTAACTGCCGAGGGCTTTCGATCTGAGGCCCCCGCAGCGTCCGATGCCTTCAGGGACTTCTTCTTGTGGCGAAACGTGCGAAAGGGATTCGTGTTGCTTGCCTGCACATACCAGGTGAGACAACTGGAAGCGGCAGCGGCAGCAGCAGCAGCAG